TTAGGTTCTCCTTTTTTTATCGAGACCTCCCTCTCAAAACCAAAAAACTCCCTCATTACCTTGCTTTTTTAGTTCCGTTTTATTCCATTACATCAAATTATATCAATTAATTCACTGCTGATTGAAATGATGTTGTTGGCAGAGGTGGAATGTTGCAGTGGGTGGTACAATGATGGGGTTGGTAGGCGTGGAATGGTGCTTCACGTGGGTGATGTAATTGCAACTGGGTCCAGGTCGGGTTGGTTGAATTGGGTCGTTTTGCTCTGTGGCCTCGGGTCTTGAGTCGAGCCCTTTGGGCTTGTTAGACTTGCTTCTTTGTAATTGGGTCCAATTATGTTGTTGGGCATTGGGTTGTTATTTTGGGCCCGGTTGGGCATATTGTAATTCAAATCCAGTTTTGGGTTTGTATCCTACAAACAAAATAATAATAATAATAAATAATAATGATAATAATAAAATAAAAATAAAACAGATCTCTGAACTAAAACTAATGTCGATAGCTGCCCCTCTTTGCCATTCTTGTGTTAACAAGAATAGGGCAAAAATAAAAAGACAACGTGTTTTTGTCCGATCTCATCTTCGTGCTTTGGAATTTGATAAGGGATCTCCTCCACTGTTTCTACAGGGTAGATTAGTTTGAGAAACATTGATTCATTCCACTGTTCTTCAGGGAAGGCTCGAAATCGATTTGCTTCACTGCTCTTCAGGAAGACCAAATTGAAAGGAGAAGCATTACTCTTTAGGGAAGATCAAACTCGAGAAAATTTTGATTCACTTCACTACTCTTCAGGGAATATTGAATCAGAATCGATTTACTTCACTACTCTTTAGGAATACCAAATCTGAAAGAAAAAGCGTCTGCTACACTACTCTTTAGGGAATGTTAGACTCGAGAAAATTTTGATCCACTTCACTACTCTTCCAGGAAGGTTGAATTAGAATCGATTTGCTTCACTTCTCTTCAGGAAGACCAAATCTGAAAGAAGAAGAATCTACTCCACTACTCTTTAAGGAAGATCATATTCGAGAAAACTTTGATCTACTTCACTGCTCTTTAGGGAAGATTGAATCTGAAAGAAGAAGAATATGCTCCACTACTATTTAGGGGAGATCATATCTTTCAAAGGAACTTGATTCACTCCACTATTCTTTGGAAAGAAAAGAACCAAGATCGATTTGTTTCCCTTGTTTTCAAGAAGACCGAATATGAAAATCAAACATTATCAATCATTAGTGCAGGTTTGAAATTTTGAAAACATTAACCCGCAGGTTCAAAATATGATAGAATCTTTGAAAATCCATTTCTCTTGTGGGAACTTGTCTCGTAGCCACCAGATATGGGGATCTACCTTGATTCGAATGCCATTTGAACCTCGTCCTTCTTGGGACTTTGAACTTGTTGATGACTTCTGCTTGTCATAGATCTCTAGTTTTCTTGAAAAACCTATAAAATATTCATCTTGAAAGTGCAATGTATCTGAATAATGAATGCAGTGATACAATTCATTTATCATTAATCTTTTGAGAAAATGAAAAGGTGTTTAAGAACGAAAAAATTAGAACTTCCACAGAAATGACTGAAAATAGACAAGGTTAATTTCTAGAGTCTTATGGAAGACAAGGTTGAGGTTTCTAGGGAAATGATCCTTAGGGAGACTAAACTGAACTTTCTAGGACACAAGTCCTAAAAGAGTCAGGATTGAAGACAACATTACAGAAAGACTAACTCCTATATACTAGAAAGTCAAGTTGAAGAAAGATGCTACTAAAAGGTTGACTCTTCTTCGTGATAAAGTAAAAAAGTACAACACTAAAATATCGACTTCTCTTCGCGAGAAATTCAATAAAGACAACACTAAAAGATTGACTCCTCTTCGCGAGAAAGTCAATGAATGAATCATTAAAAATTGACTCCTCTTCACGAGAAAGTCAATGAAGACAACACCGAAAGATTGACTCCTCTTCGCGTGGAAGTCAAGAAATGAATCATTAAAAGATTGAATTCTTTTCATGAGAAAGTTAATGAAGACAGCACTGAAAGATTGACTCTTCTTCGCGAGAAAGTCAAGAAGGACAACACTAAAATATTGACCCCTCTTCATGAGAAAGTCGTCAAGAATGGCAATACTGAGAGATTGACTCCACTTCACGAGAAAGTCAAGAATGACAATACTGAACGATTAACTCCTCTTCATGAGAAAGTCAAGAAGGACAACACTAAAATATTGACTCCTCTTCACGAGAAAGTCAAGGAAGATAACACCAAAAAATTGACTCATCTTCATGAGAAAGTCAAGAAGGACAACACTAAAAGATTGACTCCTCTTCGCGAGGGAGTCAAGAAGAACAAAGATCGACTTCTCTTCATGTGGTAGTCAAGAGAAACAAATATTGACTTCTCTTCACGAGGAAGTCAAGATTAACAAAGATTGACTTCTCTTCAAGAGAAAGTCAATAATAACAAAGATTGACTTCTCTTCACGAGGAAGTCAAGAATAAAAAAAGATTGACTTCTCTTCATGAGGGAGTCAAGAATGACAAAGATTGACTTCTCTTCACAAGAAAGTCAAGAATAACAAAGATCGACTTCTCTTCACGAGGAAGTCAATAATAACAAAGATTGACTTCTCTTCACGAGGAAGTCAAGAATAAAAAATATTGACTTCTCTTCACGAGGAAGTCAAGAATAAAAAATATTGACTTCTCTTCACGAGGAAGTCAAGAATAACAAAAAAAGATTGACTCCTCTTCATGAGGGAGTCAAGTTGAAGCTTCAAGGGAAAATAACTTTTAGTAAGACAATATTTAGTTTTCTAGGAGACATGTTCTAAGAAGGCCACAATTGAAGTTTCCAGGGAAACCATCTTAAGAGAGACAATGATATGTGATGGGAACGGCTGCAAGAGCAATCTCCATTCTCTTCTTGATTAAGTTGTCTTCACTTTTTGTTTGGACCAGCGTGCGCTCTTGTAATTATTGAGTTATTTCAATTTCTTCTTTCTCCATTTGTGTATGTGTTGTTGCCCTATAGCGGGAAATCAAAGGCCATTTCCTGGAGCTGACTTCAGAGTCTCAAATAAATGTAGTGTCAAAATTTGGTTTTGGTAATGACAATGATATTTAAGGTAAAAAAGATCAAGTAATTGTGTTTCTTGTAATTATTGAGTTATTTCAATTTCTTCTTTCTCCATTTGTGTATGTGTTGTTGCCCTATAGCGGGAAATCAAAGGCCATTTCCTGGAGCTGACTTCAGAGTCTCAAATAAATGTAGTGTCAAAATTTGGTTTTGGTAATGACAATGAATTATTTAAGGTAAAAAAGATCAAGTAATTGTGTTTTTAGCTTTGGAAGAGATATGGAAGGTCTAATTTTACCACTTTCCAAAGATCTATAACTCTTGAAAAATTAAAAGAATATTTAATTCACTTGGTAATCAAAGAACTTCAAGATTAAAAATTTGATTCATTGCTCATGACCTTAAAAACTAGCATAAGTTTAATCACCAAACATTTTTAGTAAATATTTAGTAAAAAAAAAAAGGAAGAAAAAAAAATCAAACAAGACAATGCGAGTGAAATAAAGCTTCATGATGGATAAAATGATCTCTTCCTAATTAGGATGCCCATTACTCATCAGACATGTGGATGCTCGATTGGATCTTTAGGGTTATTACAATCTAAAAAAACCATGTCTCCGAATCGATCAAATTCTGTAACATGCTCTTCAACATCCCATGGTTCTTAGTGGCATGCCTCAAACTTCATATCTAGCTCTCAAATCTTTCCTAAGAACGAACAGGGTGGCCTCAATTTACCTTTAATATTTCTTGAACAAGATTCTCCGCGAGGTACTACCAAGATACGTAATTAATGCATGTTAAGATGAAATGTATATTATGCAATATATGGCGTATATATGTGAATGTAAAAATGAAAAAATAAACATACGAATGCGAAAATACATGAATGGAAATGCAAGAGGTGTCATTCCAAAGTGATAGATCAATCACTTGTTAAGTAACACCTAGTTTGGTTATGATGTGAAAATGCAAATGCAAACAAAAGATAGAGAAAATAAGATAAAACAATAGAAATTTTTAGTGTCATTCAACCAAAAAAGCAGAAAAATTATTTACGAAAAGAAAAGATCCTACCCAACATGATATCTACCATTACATGCTTTTATAACAGTCCTACCCAGACATGTTTTCTACCCCATGCTTTGTTCAACATATAAGTCCTAACCTCATGCCATCTAGTTCACAGGCTTTATACGAAAATATAAAACCTAACCGCATACTCTTCTAGTTCTCATGTTTTTTGCAAAATAAATAAATAAATAAGTCTGAGGAAATGTTAGAGTGAGTTTCCCCTTTGTGACTTTTGAAGAACAGCGAACATAAATTCAGTATGAAACGGGTAGAGTTTTGGTACTACTAAAAGGATCCACGAATTATCCTTTGCTGGTGCCCCTTGGGCTTGCCAGACTCTCGATCCTCACCCATTATAGGCTTAAACGGGCTCATTTCAATTCGAGATTATGCATTTCCACATGTCCATGTGAGGAAACTCAATGTTTCACTCGTAAACATGAGGCATATGTACCCCAGAGGTTACTTGCTAAAGCCCATGCGGAGAAAAATAATTTTTCTCACGTAAGCGAGATCAAAATTTAAATATCATTCCAAGCTGTCGGAATGGTCTTTAAGCTTTTTTAGGGCTATGGCGGGGAACGATCCAATTGAATCTTGGAAAAGGTTGGTTTTTAAAATAATGAACAAATAAATAGGTTTGGAGTCACCATAAACCTTTGGGTTAAGTAGGTCAAATACCTAAAAATACCTTTTAAAATAATTTTAAGAAAAAAATTTTAAAAGATAAAATATGACATGTGTTTAACCAGAAATTCGTTTTGGAAAGGGTTTGGGAGTCGATTACGTGAGAGAAAGGATTAACATCCCCACAACTCCCAAAATTGGTACCTAAGTGATTATACGTTACCTAAATCTTGAAATTAGCAAATTCAAATATACATTTAAATTATGATTCTTTTTTAGAAAAAAATATAAGAGTTATTATTTTGCACAAGCAATTCTCGAAATACCTTCCTAGTCAGTTAAGGGGCACTTCCATGGATTCCCTATACAAAATAATATTCCGCCCAAATTTTTAGATAAAATACATATATTAAATATATTTAAAAAAATCATTCGAAAGTAAAATATATATTTTGTTTGAACAATTCTTGGAAACACACTCCTTGTTAGTTAAGGTGTGTTTCTATAAATTCCTCGTGTAAGATAATATTTGAAAATATTACAACAAGTGGTAAATTAACAAATATATAAATAATGGATCAAAATAATAAAAAATAGGGATTTTAGGGATTAAACTACACAATTAACAATAAATAAAGGCAACCATTGCAACTATTTCACAATCCAAGCACTACAATCGTAAATAAACAAAATACAATCATTACTGATCAATATGGAATTCATTAAAATAAGGTACTCGAATTCAAATAATCACAAAGATAAAATAATAAGCATAAAGGGACTAAAATGAATTAAAACTAAAAATAATATCCAAATAATAATCAATTAGTGACTAAAATGCATAAATTGAAGGTATCATATCTAAATTATAATAGAATAATAAACAAAATCCAAACAGTGGCCAAAATGAAAATAATAAAAAAGTGACTAAATTAAAACAAGCACAAAATATAGCACAAAATAAAAAAAATAGATTACTAGTGACCGAAATAGAAAAACACACATAAAGTATAGGGACCTGGAAGAAAATAAACCAAAAAGTTAGTGCTGAAAAATAAAAAGGGAAAATCAATAAATCAATTCCTAAGTATTTTAAAAAAAAATTAAACAGTCACTACACATGACCAAAATTTAAAACACGCCTAAAAGTACAGGGACCAAATAGAAATTAAATCAAAAATATATAACATGCAATGAAAATGGGTAAATTATAGAAACGGTCCCTTCAGGTGACCATTTTGTAAAGACAGACCTAACTTAGGGGGAAATAAGTGTAATTTCTCCCTAAAGTTTTCTATAATACAAACTTTTCTTTTATTATTATTATTGTTTTTGTTTCTTTTTAAAAAAAAACTAGAGAGAGGGTCTGACCTCTCTCTAGGATTCCGTCCAGGTTGTCACCGGTCGCCGGTAGCCATTGTCCACTAAATTTCACCCCGAGACCCATCTCGGCCTCCCCGTCTTGGATCTGGGCTCCGTTTCGCCGGCTTCAAACGTCGCGAAATAGGGCTATTTCACTTTCCTCTTTTCGATCTGTCGCCGTCCACCGTTGGATAATTCTCGTTCCTAAGTATGTTGCTCCCCTTTGCCTCCTCCTTCAGTTAACCGTTCGGATCTTCGAACGGATGTCCCTAACACCGTCCTCTCTCACAAACTGAAGGTAACCTCTCTTTTCTTTTTTCTTTTTTTATTTTTTTCTTTGGTTATGTTTTGGTTTTGTATGATGGAAAAGAGAAAAAAATACTACTTGTTATTTCGAAATAGAGAAAAAATAGAAATCTCTGAACTTTTATTTTTGTTTTAATGATTTTTTAAAAAAATTGAAAAGCAGATTTTACAATCTGTTTTTTGTTTTGATCGGGGTCTCCTCTCCTCTCCCCTTACATTGCATTGTTTTTTGAACAAGAAGCCCTTTTTTATCTCGAAAAATTGAACCCCCTCCTCCCACCGAAAACCTCTCTGCCCTTTTTTTACATTCTTTTGTTCAAATGAATCCTCCTCTTACAGAATGCCCCACCCAATTATTTCTGGAAACCGAGAGCCCCTTCCCCCTCTAATAATTTTTGGATTCTCCTTTTTTTATCGAGACCCCCTCTCAAAACAAAAAACAAATCCCCCATTACCTTGCTTTTTTAGTTCTGTTTTATCCCATTACATCAAATTATATCAATTAATTGACTGCTGACTGAAATGATGTTGTTGGCAAAGGTGGAGTGTTGTAGTAGGTGGCACAATGATGGGGTTGGCAGGCATGGAATGGTGCTTCATGTGGGTGATGTAATTGCAACCGGGTCCGGGTCAGGTCGGTTGAATTGGGTCGGTTTCGCTCTGTGGGCTCGGGTCTTGAATTGAGTTCTTCTTTGTAATTGGGCCCAATTATGCTATTGGGCCTTGGGTTGTAATTTTGTGCCCGTTGGGCCTATTGTAATTCGTGGCCCATTTTCGGGTTTGTATCATGTGAAATAATAATAATAATAAATAATAATGATAATAATAAAATAAAAATAAAAACAGGCTCCGGACTAAAACGAGTGTCGACAACAAGAAGAAGAGAAATGAGAATAAAGACATAAACATTGTATTATTATATTAATATGAATTGTATACAATACTTCTCTAAACTCTATATTTATGTTTATAAGGAGTAAATATCATATAATATTATAATCCCAATAGATATTAAAGTCTTCATAATAAAGCACATCAAATTAATATTTAGTGCATAGTGTTCTAATCATTATAAACATCTACATAAAAAAATATTCATAACACTCCCTCTTTGGATGTCTATAAGAATAACGTGCCTCATTAAAAATCTTACCAAAATAAAAATCATGTGGGAAAAAATCTTAATGAATGAAAAGAACACACATATCTTTAATACGCATAGCATGTTGCCTCGTTAAAAACCTTATCATGAAATTTCAGTGGGACAAACCTTTGGTTTAGAGAAAAAAGGTAAAACGCATATTTACTTCACCTCATGACGATTTCACATAAGATCTTTGAGTTTTTATAATTCAATCTTGAATATAATCTTCAAATTTTAAAATAGATAATGCAGCAATAAATAAATCTTCCAAATTACCTCTTGAACGAATTCACTGAATATTTATATTACTATTCTTTTGAAGATTGCGAGGGAAGAAACCTTAAGAAATTATGTTTCATTTGATGTATCTTTTTTCAATTGAGCTATTCATTTTGCATTATCTTCGTACAAGATAGTTAGCTTCTTATCATTTGTAAGCAAATCGCATATCTTTTGGATAAGTTGGGCCAATAGTCTTAGCAAAAAATATTTTCGACTTGATTTGTGTAGGCATCAAATAATGTTTGAAGATATGAAAATAATTATCTTGTAGCACTTATATAATACTTTTAGACCAAATAAGATATGGTGCTTCTGAACCAACTAGGATACAATGGTTATTGACCAACAAAGATATAGTGCTTCCAAACCAATAATTTCTTCTTCTTTGTGAAGGCAAAAAATATCTACATTTACATTTTTCCAATCTTACAATTATCGAGGCACTCCATAGATATACTTTATTCATATTGAATCTATCTAAATTCCTTTTAGTATGTATCAATTCATTAAAAAAATCATATTTAAGTATTCGATCTACAGGTCAAAGACAAAATTTGATTTCAAGACTCTTTATTTCAACTACTCTCTTTTAACAACTAAGATGCTTTGAAGATCTTCAAGAGTTTCAATAATATTCAAAGTATCAATATATACAATAATTATAACATATTTTAATTCTAGTATCTTTATAAAGACACATGAGCAAGTTGAATCATCTCTATAATCTTCAACAAATATTTATTAAGTACGTCAAATCTTAATATCTAAGCATGCATATTTGTTAAAATTTCCTAAGAATTTCTAAATGCTTCTAGCATTTTAAATTATTAGGATATAAATTTCACTATATAGGAATCCTCAAAATCATTAAACACATTATAAAGTTTTTCGTAACTGTCATAGTAATAAAATAATTACATCCACCAATAAGTAATTTAAAATTCTTCATAATACAAGTCATATTTTATATCTTACGACTACACATTTATATTCGTTGCATTACACCATTTGGTATTAGAATTGTTGGTTCAAAAACTTCATGTTTTGAAAGTTGATTATTTAATTTTTAAAAAAATTATTAAAAAATAAAATTATAATAAAAGTCTAAACTTTTATATAGTACAATAAATACCATTTTTTTAAATATTACAACACATGCCAAAACTTTTTATAAATTACAATAAATGTCAAAATATTTTATAAATTATAATAAAATAAATTTTATGATAAATTATAATAACGAATTGAGAGGAATGTCACGAATAAATTCCCAAAGGAGGATGATCAAGTATGATTAAGAAATAGAATACAAATTTGAAAGATCTGTCATCGAGGTTGACTGCCCAAAACATCGTCGTAGCGAAAGCAAAGGAGAGTAAACTCAAGCCCAGTAATGTCACAAAGGCATTTGATATTGACATATGATAGTCTCATGTTAGCATTGTAAGCAGTTTCTTTGATAAAAATGTAACTTCTTTGAGGAACACATGAAGAACGTCAGCACAAGTGTAGAACATGCTTGACATGGCGAATACAAAATATCCTAGTCTTTCTTGTACTCCTTTAGGCGAATTATCAAGCTGCTAAAACACTGTGGCCAAAACGAACCATGTCACTAGAAATGCTCCCAATCGAATACTGAATAATTTAGTTCAAATGATAAACAATTTAATATCGCTTAAGTATGTATTAAGTTTGAGTCCTTGTATATGCAAAAACTCCTCTCTGAGAGACTCACCCACAAAAGCCAGATGTGTGATCCAGATTAATTCAGATTAGTCAGGACGAAGACTTAGAAACCAAAGAGGCAAAAAAATAAAAACTAATTTCGACTTCTCGAATTCAAGATGGATGGATTTGCAAATCTTAGAACCATGAAAGTTGAATGTACATCATTCGTAGTGTCAACACACTTTTTCGTCCTACTAGGATTCAAACTCCTAAAAATAGGATAGAATTTTGCTAGGATTCAAACTCCTAAAAATAGGATAGAGTTCTACTATTAATTAAACTCCTAAAGATAGGATCCACAAGCATTATAAATAGTCATTGTAACTCACTATTGTAACACATTCGGAAGAGATATACGAAATACCAAGCAAAATTACAAGCAACTCGTAGCCATTTTTCGAAGCATTTATATTTGAAAGGTAAATTCATACTTTCGCATGTTATTTTTCCTTACCCTTGCTGTGTTTTGATTCGAAAGAAAACCGAGAGAAGTGTTTTTGGCCAATGAACGGGGGCGTTTTCGAGATCTATTTTTGTAGATCTAGCCCCCGAGGCTTGTGTTTTTTTGAAAAACTATTCGGATTTTTATAAACGGGTCGTGTGGATCCGCGTGTTTTGCCTCTACAGTGGGTTAATGCCCATTTCGGTCCCCCTGATTTTAAATACACGCAGATTCATTTTTACTTCAATTGGCTTTTAATTTCGACCCCTAATTCATTTTTTGTTTTAATTTAACCCTTATTATTTATATGTATATATATATATATATTTAATTATATTTTATTTATTTATTATAGTTCCTTTTTTTTCATTTTTTTGTGTTATATTATATTTTTTCCTATATATATATATATATATATATATATATATATATATTATTATTATTTTTTATCTATGTTTACTTATTTACTATTTTTATTATATTTTCCTAACGTTATATATATATTCTTACTTCATTTTATTTATATTTCTATGATTACTATTTTTTTAGTTAATATTATATGTATATTTATTTTCATTTATTTATTATTATTACTATTTAGTATTTTATTATATTATACATACATTTTTATATTTTTATATATATTTTTTTATTTTTTTATTTATACTATTTATTTATTTTCATTATATTTTTAGTTTCTTTGCTCTTATTATTATTTTTCTTTTCTAAAAAAACACTTTACCTTTTTTATTCTTTTTGTATATATATTTTATCTTCATTTATTTTATTTTATTCAATTTCATTTTTTTTTGTTTCATCCAATTATTTTATGTTTATTATTATTGGTTTCATTTATTTCCTTGGTTTACTCTTTAGTTTTGTTACTTTCTTTTATTATTATTATTTTCTTTTAACATCTTATTTTTTAAGGGTAT